AGCCTCCGAACTCACCCTGCGCGCTCGCTCCGTCCCCGGCGCTCTCTGCCGAGCGGGAGCGCCGAGCAGCTTTTACACTCACTGTCTGAAATCCTTAGCCCCTCCTCCCAGACTCCTCCTCACTCCAAACCAGTCCCGACTCCATCGCTCCCGGCCTGAGCCCCACACCTGTCTGGGCTGGGCCACGAGGCCCGGCGGTAGGTGGTCTTGGGGACTCGCAATCGATCCTTCCCCGAAGGGCTGCTCCGCTCCGCCACGGAGGGTTCAAACCCCAGAGGTCAAATGGAAACGCACCGGGGTGAAGGGGCCCTGCACTCCGAGCGCAGGCAGGGGTTTTCTGGGGCACCAGGCAGGGGTGCTGGACAAGGTGGCCCATGGGCCCATGGGCTGTGGGTGGGCGGAGTTGCCCCCCAGCTCCCCCCGCCCCCACCGACTTTGCCTGCAGCCAGTGCCTGGGGGTCTGCCTGGCATTTGCCATCCTGCCTTAGGTTTGGCTATTCCTCACAGGCTAGAGAGAGAAGCCAGGGTGCTTGTCACCCTGGAGAAGCGAGCACCCAAAGGAGCCCCAGAAGATGCAGGTGCGGGCGCTCTCCGACTGGAGGGCGGGCTCCTAGAACCAGAACCGGCTGGAAGGATTCAGAGCTTGCCCTCTCCTACCCCAGCCCCACACTAGCAAGTCAGAAATATCCCTGAAGTCAGATTTTTCACCAAATGTAAGCATGTTCTGGGGGATTCATAGGTCTTTCGAAGTTATAGACCACTTTTTCTGGTGTTGAACTCAGTCAGATGTCCTCACTTCCTCCCTGGCACACTGTGTGCTGAAGCCCTACCCTGTGCCTGGTGCAGGGAGAACGGGGATGTGGGGAGGGAGGCAGAGAGGGAGAGGCTCCCAGTCTCTTCATGGTGAAGGTCACCCTCGGGGACCTGGATGTAGTGCCTATAGGGGTTCCTGTTTGTAAGTCCCAGTGGAAGGCGCTTGAGCAAGGTGGGGCTCTTCTTAGGCACTTCCCATGCCCTTGACAAGGATTGGTCTGAGGCCGCCACTGCTTCCTAGTTTCATCTTTGCCCTAAGTTCACCCAATTTGTGCATGGTCTGCGAAGGACGAGGTAGGAGGAAAGCCCCAGAATTGGAAGTCAGTTTTGGCTTTGGTCTGTCCGCATTGCTTCCCAGCAAAGGCTTGGCCACTTCTGAGTTGTTCGGTACAGACTGGCGGGCGAGCACACCTTGGAGGTGAGTGCTGGTGAAGGGGCCACCGTAAGGGACCCTTTTGCAGAAGCAGTCCCCGAGTCGGGGTGACTGGTTAGGAAATTTATCATCATCAATTAAACAAAGAAATGTCCGGACAATAGGACAAATTCACTCATCAATCATGTCATGTATAAACTTTTTTGAAAGCACTAGCCATAAGCCTGACATAATAGCTGCCTGAGAATTTAGGGATGAAGTTGAAAATTTTAGAATAACAGAGAATTTAGTTGTTGAACGCAAAGCTTTGGTATATGTCCCTGTGGCATCACCCAGAAGGACAAAAGGATTTGGGGCACTTGTGGCTTTTCTTTTATGTGGTATATAAGAGGGAAATGTAAAAATGATGTAAGCAGAATATAGGCCTAGATGCCCTCCTCAAATTCTTGATCATATTCTGACAGCACATGCTGGCTTAATAAGAGCTCCTTTCCATCCGTGACTAGCTCTGTTTCTGTCCTTGAATTTTAAGGATCTTAAATAAGAACATGAAAGTAAGAATATGTAGGCAACAAACAAATACTCCAAAGGTTAATTACGAACGCCTGCTATGTGCCAGGCACTGTGAGATGGCTGAGGTGCCTGTTCTCAGAGAGCTGGTGTTCTAGTGGAGGCTGGATATTAGGCCCTGGCCATGTTTATCAGGGTCTCCCCAGATCCTAGCACAGGACCTGGCACACAGTAGGTGTTCAGTAAATGCTTAGTGAATCCAATAATGGTCAGAGCCATCTGTGACTGTCAAACAGCCCATCCACACGGGGCTGGTTTCCGGCCGGTTCCAGATGAGGTCGGCGTGGTACAGAGCCCACAGCCAGGGGTCTCTTGCCTCTTCCACGTTCGTGACGAGTCAAAGCGGGAATGTCCTTCTCCTGGGGCACCGAAAGAAGGACCTGAAGGCTTGGACTAGTTGCTTGTACACTGGGGCCTTGACTTACGAGTGTGTCCGGACTAACAAGTTTTTTGAGATACCAGCTGTCTCTCGGCCGATTTTTTGCATTGAGTTGATAGAGTAACTTGAGTTATCGAGCTCCTTAACGAGCTCGGTCTCCGAACGAATTAAACTCGTAAGTCAAGGCCCCACTGTATAGGAATGAGAAGCAGCTGGGAGGGCAGCGGCCAGAGGGAATGGTGCAGACAAGCAGAGGAGAAGAATGTTTTTCTGAAGGAGATTTTTCTCGAAAGAGCTTTCTATCCAGGGTATCAAAATAACCGGCAGCTGATGCATTTGCTTCCTTGGCGGACAGAGTGTGGTGCGCGCAGGAATTGTTATTTCCAAGGATCCAGAGCCTGCAGCCACAGCAGCACTCAGCCCAGCACAAAGCTCTTGCTTCATTCCAGAAGCCACGGCCAAGGGCTCATGCTGTGTTGCACGCCGGGAGGCTCAGCCTCGATCTGCCCGTGTGGACGCTGTGGCCGGCTCTGCTGGCAGTACGTCTGCAACAGAAATATTGTCCCAGTTGCTGGAAGAAGAAGAAATAGCTTCAGCGCAAAGATTGTTTTTCCTTCCTTCTAATCAGAGTGGGGAAAAACTTGAGAAGAGGAAATATTTTATAAAGCTCAGTATGATGACATGGCTACAGAATCACCAAGATAATCACTCCGGCCACCAGGAGGGGGACACAAGAGCCCAGGAAGGACTGGGGCTCAGCCAAGTAGGAATGGCCACGGTCAGACCAGAACTGGAGCCTGCTGACTTGTAGGCAAGCCCGCTTGCTACCTCACTCTCTGGAAGAGGCCGAGGAAAAGACCTCCAACCCTGGTCTTTGGTGCGGCTGGTAAAGGAGCAAAGGCAGGCGGGGTGCAGAACACTGCCCC